GAAGTTTGAAGCGCGACAGCTGCGCCTGGAAGACCACCCGAAGACCCGTGGCCCCGACCACCGCCGCGCCGGGGCGCACGGACGGACGTCCGGCTTCGACGGAAGCTGCGGGTCCCAATGGGCCGAAATAGACAGTGGAGGGTCGGGTTCAATGCATCAGCATTCTGTAGGTACAGGTGACCGACATGGGGGCTGAAATGGAGACTTCTTGGGCAGAAACGGCGGCCTGGCAGGTTTTGGTGTGTGCGTGTGTCAACCCCTGTCTCAAAAGGATCTATTTTAGTTATCTATCTATTCTATTCTCATTCAAGCTTGTACAGACAAACTGCAGGGGGCCCATGGGCACATGGATGGCATGGGCCAACGAAGACCCATCCATGTTGCCGTGAAAACGTACCTGCACCAATTTTTCAATTCTTCATGTCGAACTGGTGATCCTGCTGTTCACTAAAGTGCTAACGCGTGATGTTCAAACATTTCAGTTTTGCCGACCCAGCCAGCTTTCCTTCAGTTCTGCAAGTCAAGTGCTAAGTATTCACTTAAAGGGCTAATGCTCACCGCGAATTGCCTGAAGACAAGCTCCCCGGAGCAACCTTCTCAAGTGTGTCTTCGCAGCTTCTTCCCACAGTGGTAAGCTGTGTGAACCCTACGGGGCGCCGTTACCGAGAGAACCTTCTCACTCCTCAACGTGGGAGTAATTCCTCTGAAGTTTTCTGAAATCCTTTTGACTGAATTTTCGTGCTCGAAATCAGCTTGTTCGGAGTGTCTCACCACGTACACATGAATTTCACTGCACAGTTCACTGCAAGTCTTACTGAAGTATACTGCAGAGTTCAACTGAATCCAGTCTCACCCCGGAGAGGTCTTTCCAATTTTTAACTTTCATAGAAATTTATATGCGCCGATTTCGGCTTCTCGGCCAGTGCCTCCGGGCCCGTGCCGTTCGCTCGTAAGAGCATTCCCCCCCCCAACACCCCCTGCACCTTTGCTTGTCTTTCCTTGCCTTTTCGTTTGTCTTGTTCCTTCCTTCAGGCTTTTTAGGTATGATGCAGGCTCGTTTAGTCAACGCACGCCCTGCCCCCCCCGCACCCCCTGCACCTTTCTCTTCTTTCCTTGCCTTTTCGCTTGTCTTGTT